ATATAAAAGTGCATTTCCCATATACATATATATATATATGTGTGTGTGTGTGTGTGTGTGTGTGTGTGTGTGTGTGTGCTGCGCACATAAGACTTCTAGGGATATCACTGTTGGAGTGCACTGTACTATCAGCTCAGTGTTGTGCTCTTGCTGTATATGTAATTAGAGGTCGATGCTGACGCAGTAACTCTTAAGGTCCCACTAATTTGAGCCATTTAGTCACCAGCTGACACACAAATCAGCATCAGAGACCAGCTGGGTCACCACAGTGCTGGAGTCAGTGTAAGGGTGAGTTGTTCATGTTGTTTTTCAAAAGGCAAAGACAGGCAGGTGTGTGGTTGACTGCACTGCTGACACTACGAACTAACACTTTTTATTTTTAGACTTGAATGCTGCCATCTAGTGGCAGGATGGCCTTAACAGTAGCTTAGTAAATGTAATGGATCAAAGAAGTACAGGGTGTCCCCAAAAAATTTAGGTCATTTCGTAGTCTAATAACATAGCCATTTCTCCCTGAAATGATCTCAAATGTGAACAAAATGTGTAAAAACTAACCAAGTTTAATTTTCAGGTTGAAGAATGGCGTTCACTAGAAATGAAACGGCATTTTGTGTGTTAGAATATGCTCGAACACAGTCAAACAAGAGTGTGCAGCGTGCATTTTCGAGAAAATTCAATAAAAATGCACCAACTGGAAAGCAGATTTGGACATGGCACAAACAATTCAAAGAGGAAGGCTGTCTGTGCAGGGCAAAGGGATCTGGACGACCATCAGTATCGGAAAATATTACATTTGTGAAGCTTTGTGAAATCGGCTATAAAATCTGAATTTCCTGTTCAAATTTTGATAAATAAATCTTGTATTGTTCAACATGAAGCCTATTTAATTTAGTTTGCCCAGGACATGTAGTTACTCAGATATTCACACCTCAAAATATGTCAATGTTTTTGGGACATCCTGTAAAATGTTCAGTAAACAAAGATCATTTGTTTGTCTGATCGCAGATGTTTTGTGAAAAAGTAAATGTCATTATCTACTGAAAACAAATGGGTTAGGTTCCACCATTTTGTAGAAGAAAAGTCTTATTTCTTTTTCACTTTGATTCACTTTGACTGTTACATGTGGAAGATGGTAGGCTGTCTTTTACCACCTTCTATACAAGTCAGTCACGTTTTGCAGCAGAACCATCTATGTGGAAGCCTATTTCAACCTTTTAGAAGACTGTGTTCTTGTTTATAGGTGAATCAACTGTGGTGATCTACAGTGTAGGCTAATATGTAGCTAGGCCTAAGAACCTAAACCACAGCTTAGGCATACCTGACAAAGATGAGTGCCTACAGCCCTAGAGCTTCTCTTCCCTGATTTAAAAATGTAGATCTTACGTTTCAGCACAAGTTTTGCTTTTCTAGCACAAGAAAAAGCAAAAGGCTGTGAAGGCTCTCCTGTAGCTCCGGGACAAAGTTCAGCTTTCTGCTCAGTTCAGACAAAGATGCAGCATTTCAGTGAGTCATTTATGACCTTTCATTGGTTCAGATGTTAGCAGTAATTCTGGGAAAGATGCCTTTCTATCTCTGTCTGTGCTTCTCTACATCATATTCAACTGCTTTAACTGCTTCATTTATGCCTTTCTATGCACTTTTGAGCTTGGCGACTTGCAAAACATTGAGTAGAAGACAATATAAATGAATATATGAAGAGCAAGGATTTTACAGAGTGCACAAGACTACTTACAGAGGCCAAAGTGATTTCAGTTAAATGTAGCCATAATACCCATGGCAGCTATGACATGATAGGCACACACCAACCAGCCACTTCATTAAGTCCTTGTATCTACACTCTTTGTCCACATTATCAGCTCCACTTACCACACAGGTGCACTTTGTAGTTCTACAATAACAGACTGTAGTACCTCTGTTTCTCTGTATACTTTGTTATCCCCCTTTTACCCTGTTCTTCAATGGTCAGGACCCCCACAGGACCACCACAGTGCAGGTACTATTTGGGTGGTGGATCATTCTCAGTACTGCAGTGACACTGACATGGTGGTGTGTTAGTGTGCTGTGCTGGTATGAGTGGATCAGACACAGCAGTGCTGCTGGAGTTTTTAAACACCTCAGCATCACTGCTGGACTGAGAATAGTTCACCAACCAAAAATATCCAGCCACAGCACTGCTGTGTCTGATTCACTTGCACCAGCGCAACACACACTAACACGCCACCATGTCAGTGTCCCTGCAGTACTGAGAAAGATCTTGGTTTATCAGGTCTAATTTTTTTATTAGTATTTTAAATGTAATTATTATTTTATTTTTTGAACTCCGTTTTTGTTTTTTCCACTTTCATTTGACACTTTCCTTCCTTATTCTTTTGTCTTATTTCTAATCTCTGCCAAAATATCCTTTGAAAATAATAATTTTGTACTTCATGGTCATGTTTGACTGGAAATCAGTGGGAAATTCCACCAATTTTTAAAAATGTTTGCACGTTATAGTCATTGTGATGTAAACAAAGTAAATCAGAGTGGTTTGGTGTGAAATGGTTCATTGTAGAGAAACTCACAGACTCAGATTTCTTTACAGTGGTGGTGGAACCAGGGGTCACGATGTCTACAACACAAATACAGCCAATTTATTTATTATCCAGAAACACTGGTGAACCTACATGTGCCCTCTAAGTTTTTATATGCAATGTTTGTGATGGTAAAATAGCAAAAGATCTGAAAAGGTTATTTTTGGGGACTATTTTGACTTACAATGCCCTGCATGTACCCCTCTTACTAACTTTTTATGATGGAGCTTTCAGAGGCATTAAGCACTTCAGATGTTCTGGTTCCTATCACCACCACTGTGAACAATTCTGACCCAGTAAGTTTCTCTAGAACAAAGCATTTCACACAAATCACTCTGAAAGACTTTGTTTACATCTGAACCATTTAATTAGGCATACATTTTGAAACATTGGTGGCGTTCCCCTTTCAATAAATGACAGGGGGTATATATCTTTAACCAGATAAGCTTGATTTTGGTTCCATTTAGTTGTATTAAACTGTGTAGTGCTTTCCTTGTTTGTTGTGTTTAAATCACCCTTTATTAGGTGCATTTCATCCTTTTTAGGAGTGTTTTTGTTTGCTGGTGTTGTTAGCATGGCTAATTACCATAACATGCTCATGGGGTAAATAAACACAAACAGACTTCTTATTCAGCTACTAAAGATGTATTGTTGAAGTACAAAGAAAAGATGAAATAAAAAGCCATCATCGTTACAGTGTAGGCAGGGAACGTTTGGCCCGAATAATCAACCACAGTACAAAAGTTAATACTATTACACTTTTAACATGACACAATCGTTCAGTACCATCCATGTTTTCCTCTTTCTTTTTCAGATGAAATCGAATGGATAACACTTATTCTCAGAAAAAGGATGAGGTGGCAATTCATGGATACACACACACTCTGCCTCACACACACACATAATACAGCACTTCTGTTCTCTTCATCCATCGAAGGCCAACCCTATTTTGGTGTAAAGCAAAAGTTAAGACTACTCCATTTCCTCAAATCAAGTCACACAGGGCGCACAAAATTACGCTCAAACGTTCAACATACTTTCTTTTGTTCAACAAACTCGCACACTCACCTGATCCACATACAATCTAATGCATTTACATGTAGGAACTGATATGTCTACTGATATGTAAAATTGAAGGAATGGCTGAAAGATCTAGGTCTAATGGCGCACTGTATGGACGGACACTATATGGCCAAAAGTATGTGGACACACCTCCAGGAGTTTCAGCTACCCCCTTTGCTTACAGGTGTATAAAATCAAGCACATAGCAATGCAGTCTCCATAGACAAACACTGGCAGCATGGGTCATACTGAAGAGCTCAGTGACTCAGTGGCACTGTCATAGGATGCCACACCTTTGCCACAGGTCAGTTTGTGAAATTTCAAACCTGCTAGATCCACCTACAGTCCACTGTGAGTGCTATTATTATGAAATGGAAGCATCCACAAGTGGCCTACCATACAAACTCTCACAGCGGGGCTGCCAAGCATGTAGAACGTAAACATTACCTGTCCTTTGTTGCTTCATGAAGTAGGTTTCCTCAGCAAAGTAGCTGCACACAAGTCTAAGATCACTATGCACAACGCCAAGCGTCGGTTGGAGTGGTGCAAACTCCATATTAATGCCTATGGTTTTGGAATGGGATGTCCAACAAGCTCAGATAGATGTGATGAGCAGATGTCCACATATTTTTGGCCATATAGTGTACCTATTGACTGAAAGATTGATGATTTTCACATCTAGACACTGTATATACAGAAAGAGAGGTAAAGAAGGACACAGCGCAGTAGGAAATGAGGTCGCTGGTTCGTTTGGAGAATCTGCGAGCAAACACAGACCAGGAGCTGTCATATATATCAGATTTCACAGAGCACAGGTGATAGGCTTGAACACTTGAATGGGCAACACTGGTCAAATGACATGTTTTGTTGATTTTCTAGGTGAAAATAAGTACACATCCTCTAGAGAGAACACACTTCTGCACATTTTAGTGCACAATTACTTTTTATTTGCTGACATATAAGGGAATAAATTATATATATATATATAAAATGTTTTTATGTTAAACTAAATGTTACATATAAATGCCATATTTAGGTTCCCTGAAGAGGATGTGTTAACTTATTTTAACTTAGCAAAACATAAACTTTTGCATACGACTATATCAGTGTCTGCTATCTTGCTGTCATCATGATCTATGCCTTTTATCAGGCATTTTAAAGGAATACTCTAGAATTTTTCAATGTAATCTTTATCTGCTGCATCAGTATTATACAGATGATTACCAAGGACAAAAGTTTCAACATGTCCCCCTCCACACAGAAAAGCCCATGGGCAGCTGAATTCTGCCAGTAAACGTACGGAAAAAATTGAGCTGTAAATCTGCAAATATCTTATTTCACAGATGTGACTGGTTTTCTACAGGGAAGAATCTGTGGCAATACATTATCTATGTATTGATGTGGGTGGAGTTGCCATAGGCTCAAGTATTAACTTTAAAATGGTCATATATGAAAATGTAAGTAGTGACTTTAAAAAAATGGCCAGGACCTGAAAATGTGCATAGATGAATGCAGGTTTATGGTCTGACTTACAAACTGAAGGGCCCAAGTTCTATAGCCATTACAGTTTGCAGTAAGCAATTGTACACAAATGCGAAATTATCTTCAGAACGAATTTAGCATGAAATTTAGAATTCAGGCCCCTGTATTGTTAAAGTACAATGGTTGTAGTGTTGAATTTGCATTTTATGTGCATGCATTTCACACGTTTTCAGCAACAGCCCGATGTCTTCCAAGATACATGTGTTTTGATTCAACAGGTTTTCTGTTTTTTTCTAATTACTGGAAAACACATCAAAATTATTGTCTGTTGTAATAAACAATACAAAACAGATGCAGAAATGGAGATGGGTTGAAAAAACACTAGATTATTCCTTTAAGGTGTTCCTTTTCTCTAAAAGCCCACAACAGTAACTGAGAAAAAGCATATTAACTAATTCATTTAAATATGACATTAAAGCTGCAGTTAATGGGGCACTTGAGTGGTGACCAGCACTCATCCTCTGAGACATCTGATACATAGCAATCAAGGAGAAAAGAGACAGGAGAGAATTAAAGTGGGGAGTGTGGGGGTGGAGAGGACAAGAGAAGAAGGACAGAGTTGAATGAGAAGAAGGTTGAAAGACATGAATGGAGAGAGCATAGGGGACAATTACAAGAGGATAGAAGGGAGGTTTAGAGGGGTTTTGCTGGTCTGGTGGTCGCAGCTCATTAGATTTTGCAGAGCGTTGCGTTTAAAGGTATACTTCACTCAAAACTGCTGGTTCTGCTATTGAATGAAAGCTAGTGGGAGGAAAATAAGTATTAGTCCCAGATTAGCCTTCGTTCATTTTAGCCATGTTAGCATTTCTGGTTGAAGTATTCCTTTAAGCTTTGGCTGAGCGAGCAGGGCTTCTCTTCTGCTGATCCTCCAGAGTATCTCCATCTATGTCGAGCTTTGCTCTGCAACACATGCACACATGCAAAAATAAGCAAGTATTAATAAATAAAATAAATGCTATCACATGCTATTGCTTTCCATATTCTAGTGCATAACACTTTATTTTGATGGTCCACTTTACATAAGATTTTAAGTGGAGTCAGATTTTGCGGGAGTTTTTCGGACCATGTTATATGTCTTCATGCCGAACGAATAGATTCAAAAAGAAGGTTCGATGTTTAGGTCTCAAATGCTAAATTATCACTATACTAATGAACAATAGTATAGAATTCACTTACATCATTGGAAGACATGTCCTTCACCAAGGAAGCACAGCCAAGGTTACAAAATGTTCTTTTGCACCTTGCATGCAATTACACATCTCCACCAGAGGGGTCCAAATCCCCAAAACTTACATAATGCAGCTTAAACTTATGTTCAGCTAAATACCTATTAAGTTCACCTCAGCCCTTTCACAGCCCAAAACCTATCCTAAATTAACTTCATCCCCAAACCTGGTCCTAATCCTAAACCTGGTCCTAATCCTAACCTTAATGCTATTAATAACAGGTTAATAATAGGTTGTTTGCAATTTGAGCATTTGTAGACACTCTGTTTTGAACCATCAAAATGAAGTGTGAACATTAATGCTTATCCAATCGAGAATTTTTATGGTCAATTCCAATTCCAGTTTCTTTACAGCCAAACGATGGCAGATTTTTTGGCTCATTTTTACTACCCTTTTTTTACCCACAGCTTACACTGTGTGGGCTAAATGAACACATGAAACTCATTACCACATTTTCATTCCTTTGTATTACCGAAAGTTGCAATTTAATAGAATAATATTTGCTCTTTAAAAGGAAGTTTCTGTATAATTCAGTCACTGAGTTGTTAACAAAGTCATTTAGAGTGGTTTGGTGGGACAACTCATTTTTCTTTACAGTAGTGGTGAGAGGAACCAGGGGTCACAATGTCTACAACACAAATATATTTGTATACTTTATGTATACAAAAATATCATTTTTTAATATCCATAAAGACCAGTGAACCTACATGTGTCTACTGTGTGTTATGTAATGTTGATAAAGCTAAAACAGAAGTATATCTGAAAAAAATCAGTTTCCTTTTTCTACTTTTATACCTTATAGCACTGTGCATGTGAATGGCTTTCACAGAAAAAAACATGTTTTGAGTCAAAACCTTTTCACAAAACTATCATAAAACAATGTCTCAGGCATCAGACAGTATATTTATATTCATTTCATGGATTAACTTTCTGTGAGGGAGCTTTCAGAGACATCAAATGCTTCAATCATCTGGTTCCTATCACCACCACTGTGAACAATTCTGACTCATTAAGTTTCTCATTAAGAAGCGACTGGCTTTTCAGCACAATGAGTCATAGTGTAATTATTCTGCAACATTTTGGTACAGGTGTAGCAGCAGCATTCAAATACAGCATGAGTGCACTTACATGCCTCACATCACTTACATCTTACAACAGCAACACAGATAAACCAAAACCAAAGTAATAAACTAATTTCCGATTCTTTGTTTGGAGCAAAAATCTCTCAGTTCAGATCATGCATTATATTTAATAACTGAACAAATTCGAAAGTCACTTTTATGATGAGACTTTTAGCTCTTACCATTGCCTTGCAGCTGATCCAACTGGATAAAAAAAGCAAAGAAAAGAGGGAAACATTCATTAGTGAACAGTTTTGATAAGCGTTGTCTGTGCTGATGGCTCTTGACTCCTGACTGTATACTGTTACAATTGAGTGTGTGTGCATGTGCAGCTGGTCTTACCTGTGCTTCTGTTCCTGTGCTGTCATTTGTGTGTTCTGCATCTGGTGTCTCACAGGTCGTATTGTTCTCCAGTGCAGTATCGTCCTAAACATAGACATGCAAAATGAAAACATTTGAATGAGATCCACAGAGCCACCCAGTCCTCCTTCTTCACTCTAATACTCATAAAAGCAGTACCTGACTCATGAAATATTTTTTGGCTGATACCACCATTACTAAAGATCATAGCAGTTGATCTATTTTTAGATGTATATTTTAGATTAAAATTTTATACTCATATAATTATAGTACACTTTACTTGCAGTACTTATAGTTTATAGAATTGTATTCAGTTAAACAGTTAGCTTCAACGAATGGTATTATGTCAGTTCTTTGTTGTCATACTTCTTAAACAGAAAAAAATAATAACCATATTATAGCAGTGGGGGTGGAGCTACACATCATCCTTTACATTTTTTCCTTTTTCTGATTTTTCATTGGCTCATAAAAAAGTTTGTTATGTTTTATAATGTTATTCTACAGAGCCCCTGAAAGGACAAAAATCTTGTGCACCTGATAAAGACTCTCGCTGTTTAACTAGAAGACAGTAATACAGGCTGAAATGATAAATTTGAACACAAAACATCATCAAAGTCAGAATAACAAAAACATGTCATATGTATCAGAATAATACGGAGCCTTTAAAGGATGTGGTGTGTTTTTTTACGTAAAAATGCACACCTGATACTATCTGGTGCTCACCACATAGAATCTGGAGCGCATTACATATTATCTGGTACACAGCTGATAGCATTGGGTCCCTTTGATGTACCTGAATGTTTGTATGTATGTGTATGTCCTTCTTGTGTGTCTTGCTCACCAGAACCCATGGATGTGACAAGACTTCCTCTGCTGTGTAGCGCGCACTCACATTCACCTGCAGCATCTTACCAATCAAGTCCTGCAAAGAAACACAGGAGCAGAGTTAACCAATCAATTCCTATCCGGTTAGCTCTTAACATGTACAAATATGACCGCAGGTGGGTTATATAGTATAGTGTGTTAAAGGAGTGGTTTGGCAAAAAATTGAATGTACACAATTGTCCACTTTCCTCAGATGTAGCTGATCAGCCAAGACATGTTTGGTGTCCAAAATTAGCTTCTTTAGCTTAGCACTAGAGCTATTAGGCTAATGTTGCTAACAAACACTAGAAGTCAATAGTCACCCAAATCCTTTCAGTAAATGTGTCCCCAAAACATCTCAACCTGCTCAAACCACATCTAGTTCTTCACACAGTATGACTTACTGTGAACTACAAAAAAGAACAAAACTGAATGCAGCGGGCAGCTATTTTAGACAACATGTTTTGTGCCAAATTCTGCCTCCCCCACAGAATCCAACTTTCCTTCACATTCATGTGTCTCACTCAGACACGTGCACTCTAGATTATGTTTGTGATTCCTGTTGTTTCAATTTTAAATGCAATTTTAAAAGTGCAATCTGTGGTGTCCCTTTGCATGCTGTTGTCTAAAATGGCTGCCCAAAGCATTCAGCTACATGGTGATGTCATACTGTGTCCTAAACAGCATCAGGTCTACATGACCTTAATGAAAACCTGGATGCAGTTTGTTTTGGGGATGTGTTTGTGGAAACTTTTAGTGTTTGTTATCAACGTTAGATTTGTAGCTCTGACTAAAGAAGCAGAATGTTGGCATTAACTGGAAAACTGTGTAAACTTTCACCGAACCATTCCTTTGATGTAGTGTTGATGGGGGCAGACCTTGGCACTCTCGCTGATGTTGTCCCAGTAAGGTGAGGGGAACTCCAGTCTGCCCAGCAAAATCTGTTCAAACAGCTCCTCCTGTTGGTTCCTCTCACTGCGGAATGGAGGAAACCCACACAGCAGGATGTATGTGATGACCCCCGCTGCCCAGATATCCACCTTTAAACCGTACCTGTTACACACAGCAGCTCATCACATTACACCTGTGATCCTGATACTCACAGCTCTAGATAAACGAGACAGATCCGGGCATTTAGTAGTGTTAACTCTTACCCTGTCTCTGCGATAATCTCTGGTGCCACATAGGTGGGTGTTCCACAGACAGTATAGAGCGGTCCTTCCACTACAGTAGCCAGCCCGAAGTCTCCCAGCTTCAGAGACTTTGTGCCGTCCGGATATTCACACACCTGCAGAGTGAGAGAGTGAGTGTGTGAAATCTCTCATTTCATGTCTTAATGGACAATGCTGAATGTGTGCTTGTGTGCTCTGATAGTGTTTATGTATTACCGTTACCGTACGATGTATTATCATACCGTGCTTTGAGGAACTACAAATACTGTACAGTAGTGTGTAAAAAAATGTATATATAGAAAGTCAAGGAGAAAGTCAAAGGGAAATAAGTGGAAACAAAACGATGTTTCCAAAACTGAATTTCAAAAAAATTATGAAGAGATATAGAGATAATAAGACTCTTAACTCTGTCCACTTTCCACTGTGAGAAGACAACTTAGCACTATAGATCTGAAAAAATGTCTCCTATGAAGAGTGGAAGCCATTATTAAGGCAAAGATTGGATACACTAAATACTGAAAGATCTGATATTATATTTGGCTGGAGAGGCTTCTGTGTTCCTTTCTGTTAAATATTTGTTTTCTGACTTTTTCCTGACGCTAAAAAATAACTTAATTGCCATTTTAACTGGAAATATCAACAGTGGTCTCTGACTTTTGCACAGTACTGTATCTGCAACAAAAATTAGTATTACTGTATTGAAAACTTTGAAAAGGTTGTGTGTGTGTGTGTGTGTGTGTGTGTGTGTGTGTGTGTGTACCAGTAGATTCTCTGGTTTGATATCTCTGTGCACTATGCTCATGCGGTGTAGGTATCTGAGTGCTCCGGTCAGATTGTAGACCATAGCACTGGCATCTCTCTCTGTGTACTTTGTGGACGAGGTGATGGCATCAAATAGATCTCCTCCCTGCAAACCACACGCACACACTTATCACTACAGCATCACAAGTACTGTTACACATAAACAGGAGAAGTGTTAGAAGTGATTTTGGTAATTGTCTTGAAAATTGTATTTTTTTTTGGCTTCACGATAAAAACCAAAAGTTGAGCCTATTAGTCTAATAGAATAGCATAGAATAGAATAGAATAGAATAGAATGGCTTTATTTTCATTGTATAAAGTATACTACTCCAAAGAATCCAGTCAGTGAAAACCAAGACAGAAAACAGAAAACAGAAAACTCTATGATTAAATATGAGAAGATACAATTAAGAAGACAAAGTGCATAAAAGAATAAATAATCAAATAAATGAATGAACAAATAAATGAATGCAAAAGATGCTCTATATATGGCTACTGTATAGCAAAATGCTGCTTCTCTGGCGTGTCTTGTAGAAAACAGGCCATGTGTGTAATGCTGCACTGAGACCCTGGGGGGGGAGTGGTATGAAAAAAAAAAAAAGCAGTAATTATACCTTAACAAGCTCCATAACCAAGTAGAGCTCAGTAGGTGTGTCCACCTCTTCAATTAGCATAATGATGCTAGGGTGCCGGACGCGTCGCAGTATTGCCACCTCATTGGCTATCAGGTGCTCCTATTAGGAACACCAAGCAGTTATCAATATTTCAATCAGTTATTTTTATAGTCTCTCCATATATATATATATATATATATATATATATGTATATATATATATGATTCAATTTACTTCCTGACCTTGCCACTGCATTTAGCCTTGTCTATGATCTTCAGAGCATATTCCTGCCCAGTGGCCCTACACACACACACACACACCATAAGGAAAGAAAGCATTAATGTTACCATAGAAAATACTCTGAGAACATTTACTTTAATAAACATTCTTTAGAGGAGGGTAATAGGAGGACGGGAGAGACAGCTCTGGAACAACTTGGAGTTAAATGCCTAGCTTGCGCACACAGCAGGTAATATGTTTCTGTATGTGTGTGTGTGTGTGTGTGTGTTTTAGACTCATACCTCTCCACACACTCTTTAACCACAGCAAAATTTCCATCTCCGATGACTTTCCCCACTTTGTATTTATCAGTGATGATGGAGGACTGCACCTTATTCCCATTAACTGAAGAAGAGAGAGAGAGAGAGAGAGAGAGAGAGAGAGAGAGAGAGAGAGAGAATGTAGAATGAGAAGAAGGTACTTTTTTTTAATTATGCACCAGTGTATAATTATACTACAGTGTTCCATACTGCATAATTATCTTACAGTGTTCTATATTGTTGATAGTTTTGTTTAATTTTAATTATATTATAACATTATAGTGTGTGCAATACTATAGTGCTACATACCCTATATAGTTAAATTAAAGGCTCTGTGTGATTTCATGTATGCAAAACTTGATTGCCATTCATGCGTAATTTCATCACTGTGACATGCATTTCACACCTCACCTCTCCCTCTCTCGCTCTCTCTCTCTCGCTCTCTCCTTCTTTCTCTCTTACTCACCCACACACAGTTTTATGTATGTTGTATGTGTATCTACACGCACAGTCATCCAGGCTTATATGAGTGGAGTTGTGCTTCATGCAGCTTGACTCTGCCAGATGTGCCAACCTGTACAGCAGCAGAACTGCACACGTGTGTATGCTGCACATGTGTGTGGCTTATTTGCAGAAGTGTGTGTGTGTGTGTGTGTGTGTGTGTGTTTATGATACCTTCTGGGCTCAGGTCCTCTGCTCCATTGAGCTCTTCTGAGGGGGGAGGGGAGGGAGATACATGGCGGGAGGAAATCTACAGAGGACAGTTCACAATACACAAACAGTAAATGCAAAGCAGTAGACAAACACAATAAGTCTGTATTGCAGAGAGGATTTCAACATCTCCACGTACATACATACTTACTTTCAGGCTGTGCTGACTGCCTGGGCTGGTCGGGGTCTTTGATGACTTTACTCTTGGGGTCTGACCTCCTGTACCGTCACTGCCTGAAAGCAAAAAGCAGAACAATCATCAACCAGGACTGTAAGCTGTGATACGGTTATATCACCCACTCCTTTGCTTTAATTGCTGTAGTACAGTAACCTGTATGTATTGTGTTTGAGCAATAGGATGAGAGAAGGTGTTTTAAGTAAGTATAATATTACATGTTTTTCAGTATTTTCTGTGTCCACCTTTGCCATCATTACAGCTTCCATTCTTTTCTTTTGCTGTCAGTTTTTCAAAGAAATTTACCAGGTTTTTTTCCACAACACTATAGAGTTCATAGACATTGGTTGCACTTTGTGCTCCTCATGATCTATGGGCAAAATGTATGCAAATTAGCTGAGTGCTAACCAATCAGATTGTTGATATGAGGCATGTTAACCGACTGTGTCACACCCATGGCTGAGCTACTTGCTGGTGTTCCACACTCAAACGGACACAGAGTGGGAAGTAAAATGGTTAAAATGTTGAATATTAATAATATTACATTAGATGAATTTAATTGTATTATCTATCTATATATCTATCTATATATAAACATATATTCCACAGGTTCCAAATAGTTTGTAGGGTATGTGTATCCAGGATGATGAACAAAGCTGTAGATGTTACCACAATAACTGAGAAATCTCTGTAATATTGGGAATGAAATTATAATAAAAATTGTAAAGTGGAGATCAAATCCAGAGACAGTTAACATGACAAGCAATACATAATGAACCATAAAATATTGCATTAACATTAAGTAATTATTGAGCAAAATAACATAAATTATGACAAGTCTTTCCAAACTTTTGAATGATAGTATGGGAGCTTATTTACAAGTGAATGTGAGTGAATGAATGAATTAGAGTGAAGGTGTTGTATTGGTAGGTCTTTACCTGACACAGGTGATTTTGACCTGTTCACACCAGAGCCTTTGGGAACAGCGTATTTAACAGGAGCAGATGACTTTGACGATTTCATCTTACACTCTGAGACAGAGACAGAGGATGAATGGAGTTAGTAATGTGGATGTGCAGACTGTCTGTTAAAGGTTTGGGGACACATAGCTTTTCAAAGTGTTTTTTAATAAACACTGTTTTCTTAGAAAAAGAAAATAGGAAACAATAAATAGAAAATAGAAAGCTGTTTAGATCTTGCAAAACAAAAGGAACAGCTGACAAAAGTGCTGCCTTGGGGACAATGCCAAACCCCACACATTTTATGCGCTTGTTATGTTGTCAGCCCTTATAAGCACTCAAGTCTTTCAGCTGTTTGAATTATCTTTGAGCCAAAAAGATTTTCACTACGTGTTTTAACAACTGTTTGGAGAAGAAAACTGTTACACAATTATTTAGGCAAGAACCAAGGAAAAAACTTTATGTAAACATTCATGAATAGCAGTTTCATGTTAATAGAACCGTGTCAGTTATTTTTCTCTTATTAAAAGGGCCCATATCACTGAAAACCACATTTCCCTTGCTTTTTCAAATTAAGGACTTTTAAATAATATGCCAACAGAGTTCAAGTTTCGAAGCACACTATTCACTCCTCAGTCCATACAAACCATTAATGGAAACTATGCTGAAAACAGCCTGTTTTGAGTTCATAGTTTCTGTGACGTAATTTACGTAATGTAACTAATTTACATATATCCACCTATTCCACATACAGCAGTTTAGCTCCATCGGTTCACACTGAAGTTATAAGCAGTGTTTCAGAGTTCTTTTCAGATGAGGCAGCCAATCAGAACAAAAGTCATTTGTCATTTATCTGTCTTAAAGGCACAGTAACCATAACAGGCTGATTAATTTTAAAAAGGAGTGACCATTTTTATTACATAAACACACACAAATGTTATTAGTGGACCTCAGGGGGAAAAACGTTAGATATAGACCATTTCATTGAAAAGTAACAGTGAACAATCTTATAAGTCTTCTAAAGTGTCGTGTTCGCCCAAACTTTACACATGCACTGTATACGCTTCATCGTGTGTTCAATATGTGCGTCACCATTGACGAACGCAGCAGCAGAAGGTTTCCCCGCGTGTCCAATCGCAGCATCGTCCTGGGCATAACGGAACTTCTCAAGGCCGCACGCGATGAACACGTCATCGTCTCCAAAAAAATCCTGAAGGCTTGTCAGCTATAAAGATTTAGAAAGAGAAATTAAATCAGAACTTTGCTGTGCAGCAGCCAGCTTTCTTATCATGCCAAAACTGTCTGCCAGCTTTGAGAACACTTCTTTCTGGAACATTATCTGCTGCTGATAATTGCTGGTTGTTACTGGCGAGGGAAAAAGAATCTATTCTTAGACGCATCACGATTCTCCCTTGAAAGATACTGCACTGATGCACAAAGCATCATAAGCAGACTTTTATACAGACCTAAGAATGTGATTTAGTTTAAATTTGACAGCTAAACATGAGCCTGTACACTCAAATTCAACTAAGTTAACCTACTTGTAAAGATGGAAATACACATGGAAAAAGGATACAGAATCAAGATGCATTAAGGGAACACTCACTACTAAGATTTACATGCCTTAAAATAGTGTACATGACTAATAGTTTTAAAATATGATGTTTTAACCACAGAAATGTTGTCATATGGTTACAGAGGACTCAGTCATATGGACAATAAGACAATCAAAAACATTTTCTGTTGGGTAACGTAATACTCTGGCTTAGATCTTTAGCTTGCTGTACCTCACTCAATGGATGAGACACAAAGCAACCAATTGATGCCGTCACAAAAATCTACTAGTAGAGGGATTTTGTCTGATTCAAAAACAAACCCAATTCCAAAAAAGTTGGGACAGTATGTGAAATGCAGACAAAAAGAGAAAGCAGTGATTTTGTAAATCCATTTTGACCTATATATAAACAAAACCAGTATAAAGACAAGACATTTAATGTTTTATCTTATCAACTTTGTTTTTTGGAAAGACAAAAATATCATTCTGAATGATTCTGATGCCTTTTGAGACGGGGGACTAGGAACATTTAACAATGTTCAGAAATCATTTTAAAAGAGATGATATAATCATGTTTTGGTATAAAAGGAGCATCCAGGAAAGGAATCGTCACAAAATGTTTAAGAATAGAATTCCTCAATGAGTGTTTTCAAGAATTGTAAGCATTTCACTGTGTACGGTGCATTATATCATCAAAAGATTCAGTGAATCTGGAAAAATCTCAACTAAATACAACTAAATTAATGACATTAAATGGAATAGCATTATAAACAAGCATGCTCCTTTGATGGATAACCCAGCATGGGCTCGGGAATACTTTGACAAAGCGTTGTCAATGAACATTATTTGTGGGTGCATCCACAAATGCAAGTTTAGACTGTAATATTTACAGTGAAACCCATAAACCAAATCCAAAAACGCTGCCAACTTCTCTGGGTTTAAGTGTATTGTGGTCTGACGAGTGAACATTTCAGAATAAATTAATTAAATATTGAACTTTGTATTCCCTGGTTCAAAAAAGAAAAGACCATCCAGACTGTTATCAAGATAAAATTTAAAAGCCAGGGTCTGTCATCATATGAGAGAGTGTTAGTGCCCATGGCAATGATAACTTGCACATCTGTGAAGGCATTGTTAAAGCTGAAAGATATTTCAGCATTTTGGAGCAACATATGCTGCCTTTCAGACACTCTCTTTTTCAGCAATGTCCATGTTTATTTCATCATCACAACATCAGCATAGCTGTTTAATCAGAGAGTGCGGGTGCTAAATTGACATGCCTGTCTCATTGAAAATGTGTGGTGCACTACAAAGTGCAAAATACATTAGCAAAGGTCCTGTACAGTTGCACAGCTGATGACTCATCTAACTGAAATATAGCAAAAAAATTCCAGTTTCAAAACTGAATCAGTTGGTGTCTTCACTCCCCAGATGATTATTGAATGTTGTTAAAAGGAAAGGTAATGTAACACAGTGGTAAACATGCTCCTCTTCCAACTTTTTTGGAACATGTTGCAGGCATCAAATTTGGAATGAGCATATATTTACAAACAACAATGAAGTTCATAAAGTAAAACAACAAACATGGTGGTTTTATACCGTTTTCAATTTAATCCAGGTCAAACAGAATTTACTAATCACTGCTTTCCATTTTTATTGGCATTTCACATACTGTCTCAACTTTTTTGGACTTGAGTTTGTAAAAAATAGAGTAGTTTGCTTGGTTTATACAACATATTTTAACAGTATTAAAATAGCATGTACACAATATTGAGGTGATCAGTCAGGGCACCCATTAAGAATAGTTTTATAATCACATATGGCACCCTGGGTTGAAATTCAACTGAATTGTGAGGTGCCAGGAGGTTCTCACCACAAAGTTTTTACTAGGACAGCAACGTTTCATTGACAAAGTCAATTAGTTGTCAACAACTCATGTTAAATAGTGAAAAAAAAAAAAAATTATTTGATACGCATAGTCATTTCAAAAATTGCAATACACTACCGGACGTGTAGGGGGCGACAGGGCTTCTATTGTTTCATTGCTCTTTAAAAAAAGAAATAGCTTGTTATACAGAAGGAATTTGGACCAGTGGTGGTGAAAAAGGATGAATGAGAGGAAACAATAGAAGCTGTTATGCCTAGTTTTGTCATTTAATCAGACTATCTATTGAAGGGTTTAGAGTTATAAAAAATTAATGTATAGCAGCTTGTGACGGATTTGAAAATGGTAATTTTTTTCAAAGGGAGGCGTGTTTTTTTAGAATTGGGATCTTTCTGTGAGTCATGAGCGTAAAATTGTTTCAACATCTATATGAGGGGCCCGATAAAGATTTTGGGGGCCTACTTGCTAAGAGCTCCATTCCCCCCTGCCCCACCAACAGTTATACCACTTGATTTAGCTACCACAGAAAAAAAAAGTTTCAGCTCCTGTTGGTGCAGTTGAATTTGGTTGAAATCACTTTGACCTTCAGCGACCTTCATTGTTGACATTTTGTAATTTCACTTTCCACTATCAGAAGTTATACCATGTTGACACACAGATAGCTGGCTTTGATTAGGTGTACAGTGTGTACCTTGTGCCAGGATGTTGCTGATTTAAGCCAAACTGAGGTGAATTTGCAAAATGTCTACATCATTACTTGTAAAGATGATAGAGGAAATGGAATATAACAATATACTTGCACAAACACATGTATAAGAACAGGACTGCTCTTATGCAAATAAGTCTAACTCAGCAGACAAAAATGCGCTTTATTCCTAAGAGCCACTGGGTGAGTTAGTCTGCAGTTGCCATGAGAAACCGGCAGTTTTGCTGATGAGGTACAGGAACACACACACACACACACTTCCGTCTCGCCAAGAACAAATGAGTCTTTCAAGGATTCCCCTCCTTCTCTGCAGTAGAAAATGTGTGGCATACAAATGAACCCTGGGCTTCTCCTATAACGCACACACACAAACAACCTTGTGTGCTTTCTCCCTCTGCTGAGGCATTCTGCGAGTTCGCTCAAGAGAGGAGGAAAGGAGAAAGGTTACCATGGCAACCTGCCTGCAGCCGGAGTTGCTGGCGTGTTGGTTTTTTGACAGAACTGGGGTTTCTCCAGCTCAACACATGCACACCCCCACAAGTATATTCCCCCTTGCTTACTAAGATAATATAATCCTACTATTTATTATGAGGGTTTGTTATGGTAATTGGCATGTAGACAGAAAGACACTCTACTATTGCTAGGAGGAGAAGCGCTACATTCCTCATGTTCTAGATCTTCTATTTCTCATGCAGTGCTCTAGGGCTCAAAGGACAGAACAGAGACTGACTGAGGCCCTGAATACACACTGACCGAGAGTTTGACCTAGTGCTCTAGAGACTGAACAGACAGTAACCGAAGGCTTTAAAGACAGAATAGAGACAGGCTGAGGCTTCTAAAGACAGAATAGAGACAGGCTGAGGCTTCTAAAGACAGAATAGAGACAGGCTGAGGCTTCTAAAGACAGAACTGAGACAGGCTGAGGCTTCTAAAGACAGAATAGAAACTGACCAAGTGCTCTAAAAACTGAACAGATACTACATGAGGGCACTAAAGACAGAACAAAGACTGTCTGAGGCTTCTAAAGATAGAATAAAGACGGAACAGACACTAACTGAGGGCTTTAAAGACATAATAGAGGCTGACTGTGGGTTCTATAGACTGAACAGATAATCACCAAGGGTTCTAAAGATGGAACAGAGACTGACCAAGTGCTCTAAAGACATAACAGAGACTGACTGAGGGATCTAAAGACAGATCAGACACTGACCAAGTGCTCTAAAGACTCTAGAGACTGAACAAAGACTCAGAGTTCTGAAGACAAAACAGAGACAGAAAAATAGAAAGACAGAATACAAACTGACCAAGCACTCTAAAGACTCTACAGCGAGTTCTAAAGACAGAACGGAGACTGATCAGGTGTTCTACAACTGAACAGAGATAAATCAAGAGTTCTAAAGACAGAACAGAGATTGACTAAGGGTTCTAAAGACAGAATAAAGACTAAACAAGTGTTCTAAAGACTAAACAGACACTAACTTAGGGCTCTAAAGACATGACAGAGACTGACTGTGGGTTCTAAAGACTGAACAGACACTCATCAAGGGTTCTAAAGACAGAACACACGCTGACCAAGCACTTTGAAGACTGCATGGTATTTACTCCACAGGTCAAAGACATGAAAATACACCAACTACATATAGACATAAGGTGCTTTTCTACTGCAGGAACATTTTCAGGAGACAGGATTGTTTTTTTTTTCTTTCAAAAGTTCTAGGCATGTTTGCACCTGAAGTACCTGAGCCATAATTCCAGGAAGCTCTTTCATTTCTACACCAGTGTAGTTATTTTTCTGCCAGCCAGGACCTATTAGATTGGAGCTTGCTGTACGGAACGAGGTGAATGGTCAAATGCAAGCTTTACAGAACTCTGTTATGCAAAACCCTCACATACAACTTGTTGTGGATATCAGCAGAGCAAGAGATAAAGTGTTTCAAATGGAAAGTGGACCTTGCTCAGCATTTAAACCGAGGAAAGCATTCAAAAACTTTGAGTTGTTGACTTAGAATGAAAGAATCCACGAAACTTTTGTTGGTTTTAGGTGAATTGGGAGCACTGAAAAACTGTGCTGGAAAAAATGTAAATGCCATAAAACTTGCACACTTGCATCCCTTCTTTTTTCTCCTAATGGTCATGGTTTCTACAATGTGATAGAAACAATAGCTCTTTATTCATCAGAAGGTGCCAGAACCTCAGTGGAAACTACAGACATACAGATTCACATATACACACCTGCTTCCCATCCAGAGTGTAGAGCTTCTTCACAGCTCCGGAGTCCAGTTTAATAGCCTCTGTGATGTCAGCCAGCACCTGCTCGAACGAGTGAGCCGTCTTTTTGTTCAGCAGCACCCTGACGGCCTTGCGTGGCTTCACCCCACTGCGGATCACTGTCACCAGCTTGGGCTTGATGAAGTCTTTACTCTCCCTGCTCTGGCCTCCGCCTGAGCCCTGCCGCCCCGTCCCGGTCCCTGTCCCAGCCATCCGAGAGCCCCAGTTAGGGTTCACGTTCTTGGTGTAGTCCACCTTCTTGTAGGGTTCATTAGACGCACAGACATAGCCCTCACCTGCAAGAAAGAGTGGATGAAGTATCTTAGGATTTCTTGGTAAGGCTAATAGTATAAAAGGACTGTGATGAGGTTTTATGATCATGAAATCTGTGACTAACTAATGAAAAAGTGATTCTTAAAGAAGCTCTATGTAATCCATTCATCTTCTAAGCCACTCATCTCCCTGCGTTGCAGAGGGTGCTGGAGCCTATCCAAGTAGTGGGCAGGAAACACCCTGGACAGGCCACCACTCAATCATAGGGCAGACACTTCCACACACATACTTAGTATGTCCAATTCATGTCATCAAGAAAACAGGGAGAACATGCAAATTCCACCCAAAAAGAAGTCTGGTGGCCCGGCCAGGGATTTGAACCTAGGCCCTTCTTGCTGTAAGGCAGTTGACCACCAAAGATATCTCATATAAAATGTTCTTATCAAAACCAACTAAGGCCTGTGGTCCAGTAGTTCTCAAACCAGTGTTCAACAACCCCTAGACAGTCTACATTTGTGAATTGCTTCTCAGTTGAGACCAGTTTAGTCAAGAATCCCAGAATCCCATTATTACATACTAAGACTTATTATTGAATAACTACAGGGAGTTCACTGCAAACTAGTTGAGCTATTCTTAGGTTATAGAAGTGTGTAATAAAACGGGTTTAAAGGGGTTAAAGCATCAATTGCACTCTGAACCCGCTCCTCAGGGACCCCCAGATGGTCCATATATTTACTCTATTCTTATATCTTGGGAAAGAGCAAACATATGGACCATCTGGGGGTCCCTGAGGAGCGGTTTCAGAACACTGCGCTAATCAATGCTCAGCCAATAGGTTCTTCACACCCTGCTCAAACTATGCAATAGCTCAAAATAGGTTTTATAACATTTTAGAACTAAAACGGATTTTGAATTGAGAACCCAAGCTGTCAGCTGAGACCAGGCTTAATCTGCGTCTGCACCATTATCAAGCAGAAACAGTTCCCTCGGGGCATCAAATCCCTGACTCTGGAATATAAAATCAGTGTTTTTTAATCTACAGTTTGTTTGTATTGGTGCTGTGACTATAATTGCTTCTGTAGGGGTTGGCTTCCTCTTCCGTTCTAGGACTATGCTGTGTCTGGGGAAGCGGATTCTCCTACATTGATCTGAGAGTGCTATTTGTGGTTCTCAACTACCGCAATCAATCACTTTGGATTTGTGCTCAGTAGATTATCTATCAGAAGCAAATGCATCAAGAAGCTTCTGTGCGCGCTGCATCTGGAAGACGGAGAGAGAGAAAGAAGACAGAGAGAGAGAGATGTTCACTTTAGGCTAATGTTAAATTTCTGCAAATCAGTGCACTTAAAGGATTACAGCAAATGAAAGCACATACACAGAAGCACTGAGAGAGAAGGGAGGCAGATATACGAAGAAACAGAAGGCAGAAGAAACAGAAGCGCAACGAACGTAAAATGGTAAGGGAGAGTGCTGTAGTGTGACATTAGACATCCAGGCTGCCCGAAATGTCAAAAACCGCTGACTGCAGTCTTTTAACATGCTTAATAAGATAGATGACATTAATAAAAAGAGACGGCTTAGAGGGCAGGCGATGAGAGGAACGAGGGACAAATCTCTCCCCTCTTCTGATATTCAGGATAGGAGATGAGAATCCGCTAATGGCTTGGATTTATTTTACTTGTTCTCTTGGGCTCATGCAGATGAGCAGCTGCTTTATCATTGCTGACCGTGCAGGTGATTTTTTTTTACCTCATGTGCCAAGGACAGTTCCAGGCAGCCATGAGTTTACAGACTTCAGTGCCTTTAGACTTCAAGGTCTTATTATAACTAATATGATAACATCCCCTCGATAATGAAAAAAATTGACATATTTTATTAGAATCACTACGACCGCTAGGCATCAATTACTGCACAGACTCACTCTGCTAATGTTGTCTCAGGAGACGTGCTGCCATCAGCAAATTTAAGAGATTTTAAGTGTAATGCGTTTGTGTTTCTGTAGTCATGTATTTAAGCCTTTCTGGGGACTATATATTTCTAGAATAAACATTTGGGTCATTTAGACATTCATTCATCCATATAAGGTAAAATACTTTTTTTAATAAAGTAGCTTTTGTTTGAATAGGTGTTCACTAATCTTGTTGATGTGCATGACTTACACCTGATTGGATCTCATTTAACCCAGAATGGCTCCTCATATCCTGCTATTTTTGTTTTGAAATTATATTGTTATAGTGTAGTATTTTGTTTTATGCTTAGATTTAATCTGAAATATACTTAACTTTATATTCAGTGTAATCTAAAATATATTCTATTGTATATTCTGATGTAATCTGAAATATATTCTACTGTGTATTCTAATGTAATCTACAATATATTCTACTGTATATTCTGATGTAATCTGAAATATATTCTACTGTGTATTCTGATGTAATCTGAAATATACTCTGCTGTATATTCTGATGTAATCTGAAATATATTCTACTGTGTATTCTGATGTAATCTGAAATATACTCTGCTGTATATTCTGATGTAATCTGAAATATACTTTGCTATAAAATCATACAATCTGAAATATATTCTGCTGTATATTTTGATGTACTCTGAAATAAATTCTGCTACACATTCAATGTAAACTATTATATATTTTGTTATGTATTCTGACATAATTTGGGTACTCCGGTTTCCTCCCACAGTCCAAAAACATGCAGTCAGACTGATTGGACATGCTAAATTGCCCCTAGGTGTGAGTGTGTGTGTGACTGTGTATGTCTGTCTGTCTGCCCTGCGATGGACTGGCGACCTGTCCAGGGTGTATCCTGCCTTCCGCCCAATGACAGCTGGGATAGGCTCCAGCACCCCACCACGACCCAGAAGGATAAGCGGTTTAGAAGGTGTATGTATAATCTGAAATTATATTTTGCTCTACATACTGACGTAATTTCAAATATATCCTACTTGTATGCTCAGCTATACATTCTGAAGTAATCTGAAATGTATTGTGCTGCACACACTGCTGTAATCTGATTCATACTCTGCTATATCCTTTCCTGTACTCTGAAATATACTTTGTTGTATGTTCTGATGTAATCTGAAATATATACAACTGCATAAACTGATGTAATCTGAAATATATACTGCTATATATTCTGATGTAATCTGAAATATACTCTTCTATATATTCTGATGTACTCTGATATCTAAAATATATACTGTTGTATATTCTGATTTTGAAATATATTTTACTATGTATTCTGATGTAATTTGAAATATGTACTGCTGCATATTCTGATGTAATCAGTCACGTCATTTACCTACTTTGATAGCATTCTCATATAGCTCACTCTGATATTCTGCTAAATCCTGAAATATATTCTGTCCTACACTGTCAG